GATGTTCTGTGAGCTTAACAGATAGGGCTTCCCAGCGAAATATGCCTTTCTCTGAACAAACCGTTCAGGAAACAGTTGGTCTCAGCCTGGCAGCAGGTGGCAGATGGGGAGTGGGGTGTGTGTCTTCATCCAAGTAAGCTGCACCCAAGATAAAGCATAAGCCTCCTCAGCCCCCAATCTCCCAAACACAGCCAATTAGCCTGCTGTTCGAGAGATGCCCTTTGCAGAAAAGAAGGGTGGATACAGAGGGGCCAGGGGCTGAGGTTAAAAAAAGAAAATGCCAGAATGAAGAGCTTCTATAGATGGCTTCAGATAAGAGCAGATCTGTCTGATACAAAGGAAAACAGGAGACCATTTCATACTACACAATTATATCATTATGATTCTACTGGTAGCCTCAAGGCTGGACTTCTATAATGTGCTCTACATTGGGCTACCTTTGTACCAAGTCCAGAAGCTCCAACTGGTTCAGAATATGGCAGACAGACTGATTATGGGTACATCCAGAAGTGATCACATTACACTGATCTTAAAAGCACTCCACTGGCTGCCAATTAGTTTCCGGGCAAAGTACAAAGTGTTGGTTATTACTTTTAAAGGCCTATATGGTTTGGGTCCAGGTTACCTACAAGATCACTTTCTCCTGTACAATCTACCCTGTACACTCAGGTCCTCTGGGAAATGTTTGATCCAACCGGTCAGCACTAGACTGGCAATGGTTCCCCAGAGGACCTCTTTGTCTGCTACCCCAAAACTGTGGAATGACCTTCTGGAAGATACATGACAGCTGAAAATGCTGATTGTATTTAAAATGGCACTAAAAACATACCTCTTTCAGCAAGCATATCCTTTCAGTTTTAAATCATGACTTTTTAATCTGTATATGAACTCTTATAAGTATATTTTAATGATCTTATAGTTATATTTTAATGGTGGGTTTATGTATTTTTGTCTTTTAATGTGCTGTACCCCCACCTCGAGCCTTGAGGAGAGGTGGGAAAGTATTATTATTATTATTATTATTATTATTATTATTATTATTATTATTATTTTAACTACTATGGCTGTATCCTGAAGAATCCTGGGATTTGCAATTTCATCAGAGGCTTCCTGGCTAGCTGTAACAAAGATCCCTCCCTTAACTGCATATCCCATGATTCCATAGGATGGAACCATTTTGGGGAAATGGCATCATATAACAACATAATAAGTAGTTCCCATTCTTTGGTCCTCCATTTGTTTTGGCCTTTAGATCCCAGAAGCCCCAGCCAACTTGGGCAACAGCCAGGAATTATGACAGCTGAAGTCCAAAATATCTGGAGCACCAAAGGTTGGAAACCACTGGTGTAGTGTGAAAGGGCCTTACTGTTCCATCCTTACCGTTCTCTGGTAAGGAGACCATAGCTTTCCAGAGACAAATAGCAGGCTGGAAGACCCACCCCTGGTGTAAGCTCTGAACAGCTTTTTCAGCTGGTGTAGGCTTGGGCATTGGCCAAGAGAAAGCACTGTTCAAGTGGAACAGAAACAGATGTTTTGGACTTCAGCTCCCAAAAGTGACAGCCAACATGGATACTGGTCAGTATCCTAGTATCCTTTGGAAGACTAGCATTTGAGAAGCACTGGCCTATAATCAGGTGGATTAAGTAGGATGAAAAGAACCAGGGTTTCCTTTTATATCACTTTGCTGTTGCTCCCTATAAAGTTTGGACTATGCTACTTCACCTCTCCCTTCTCCTCTGGAACAATTTTATCACTTACATCCCTTCTTCATCTTAGATGCAGAAAGTGGTTGCCATGGGGTATATTCTTTTCTTCCTGTTCAGAGTGTTTGGTAGCATTAGGCTTAGAACATGTTGCTTTCCTCAAAGCTATTGATCAAACTGTACTACTGAGCTGAGATTTTTGAAGTCTGATCCTCTTGTCTATATTCCACCCCATCCCACCGTGATGTTCCACTACTTTATCTTCAAATTGTGACACAGTTCTTACTCTGTCTCTTTTCTTCTAGACACTACTAAGGATTTTAGTGTTGCCTTTTAACTGGAGGTACTAACATTGTGAGAGCCTGTGTGGTGTAGTGGCTGAGTGTTAGACTATGACTCTGGAGGCTAGGGTTCGAATCCCCACTCAGCCATGGACATCCACTGAGCAAGTCACACTCTTAACCTCAGAGGAAGGCAAAACCCCTCTGAATAAATTTTGCCAAGAAAATCCTGTGATAATTTCACCTTAGGGTTGTCATAAGTCAGAAGCAACTTAAAGGCACACAACAAGCCAAATTTGTGGAGGAATATCTTTGAAAATATTGGCTAGCCACTGTGGCTGCCTTTGCCTCTTCCTCCATTCATACTCCAAGCATTTGAGCTTCTAGGTGCCATGTAAATATTTTGCCAATTCTAAGAACAATTTAAAAGGCATGTTAAGAACTACAAGGCTCTACACCAGGTGTGGGGAACCTATGGCCTTCCAAATGTTGCCAGACTGATTCCTAGTATGGCTGATCATAGGCTATGGAGCATGGATGGAAACTGCTGTATATCAAAATCTGGAAGGCCACGTTTCTCACACCTCTAAAATGTTGGGGAGCCAAGTATCTGCTTGCTGCATAATGCCTTGCAAAACCCACCAAGCCCCTCTCTATGGCTCAAATTGTTTCTCTGCTGTACAGGTTAATATTCTGACT